GGGAAAGAAGGTTTGGCTTACAGGATGAAGAATAGTCATTGTGGCTTGAAGCATACACCAAGATAGTGGTGTATAAGGTTTGATAGATTCATGTTAGACGGCGGGTACATCGAGTATTAGACATACTACTGTTACTTCATCAAATACTTTGATAAATATTATATCTTCTTTCGTATGTGGATGATATGTTGATTACAGAATTTCACATTCCAAAAAAATTATACAAAATTTCACATTCCAAAAGAATTCAACATGATCCTAGGTGTGTTATTCTTAACCTTTTATGACATGTAATAAGAAAGAAATGAGATAAATTCAAGTATATTTCATTTGCAAGATAAATTCAAGTATATTTCATTTGCAATAGGAATAAGAGATTAAGAGGGTTTTAATTTTCTCCATTACCATGATAACGCGGAAGGAAGGTAAGGTTTATAAGAAAATTCATGTTTCATTGGATGAAAAAGAAATAATGTAAGATTTTGATATGTATAAATATCATAATTTAGTTCAATTTTGATGAATTCAAAACTTAGTCAATTTGACCAATTTCCAAAAAAAAAAAAAAAAAACAAGTTATAGCTTATTATCGTTGTTGCCCACCACTCTATCATCCCTCTCACTATTGTAGAGTGCCAGCTATCGTGATTCTAAGCTGTGCAATCAGTGATTCTAAGCTACAACTCGTGTCCCACCACCACCAACCAAAAATTATTCCATACGGATCGGGCCCCGCACGCAGCTTGCGTGAGGTGCCCGATCCGGACCGTAGATCACCTCATTTACGGTCCCGATGTATTTCAGTGGGCCCCACCTAATTTTTTTTTATATAAAAAAACAGAAATAATCCTGGTTGTTGATCTACGGCCAGGATCCGACACCGCATGCAGAGATGCATGCGGTGTCCGCACGCAATAATTTCTCCCCACCAACGCCACCTACTCATCATGATATTGGCGACATTGATGCTTTCACCGCCAAATTTTATATTAAATCCATTATCACTTTAAATCAAACTTAAGAAAATAATTTCATAAAAGTATTCACACATAATTCAAATACATTATATTTCAATTACACTAAATTCATTTTATTATTATTATTTTTTTTTCAACAAATCAAATAACCCATTAATACATTTTCAAAACATTTAAATTTTATTTTGCACTTTCTTAATGAAAATATTTAGAAAAACCATAAAATACATGAAAATAATATAATAACCCACTTCAATGCAACCAAACTGCCTTTTTTTAATAAGATATTGAGGTAGGAGAACACTGGTTGGTGACAGTGGACAACGAAACAGAATCTAATTGAGTGGATTAGCAAATAAACATTCCACTGCAGGAGAAAGAGACCCATCCTCAGCCTTCTCAAGCAACATAACCATGTCCAATCATCTAAATCTATTTATTTTGTTATTCAATCTTCCAATTAGGACAAGCTAATCACTAAACCACGTCTTAATCTCATAGATCCTCATTTTCCATTCAGACGTAAACCACAAAGCCGCCGAGAAACCAGGAAAAAGACCTCTCATTTCCCAATTATACAGCGGCGCTCTCTGTTCTTCCTCTCCCTGTCACCATGAAAGTGACATCGAGCTTCATTCATGTCTAACTTTAGCCACTATCCCATCAGTCGACAGTCGAAATCAGCCCCGTCAGCCACCGTCTTCTTCGTTTTCCCAGATCAAGCTACCATGAATAAAGAGAGAATTTTTGCAATGACAAACAACTCGAGTTTTTTTTTTTTTAATTTTTTTCTTATTAATGGTGCAAATGATAAACTTAACAGAAGAGTGCACACAGCAATGAGTAGCAAAACCAGAAGTCAACACATCAACAAACAAATCTAAGAAGTACGGCTACTTGGCTTCAAGAGCCTCACAACAAGATAAGCAGCACCAAAGGGAAAGAAAAACAGAGGAACTGGTAAAACTCGTAGAAGTCGCAGATGCTTAACACTTTCCTCGGCTTCACCCGGTGAAGAATCACGGACTAATCTAACAATGAGAAAGAAAAGAGCAACTTTTTAGCATGGAAATGAAGGAAAAGAAGAGATTTTGATGGATGTTTACCTGATGAGGAGAAGCAAGCAGGAGTTTCGGTCCCTCTTCTTGCTTCTTTCCATCAATGGTGCGAAGCAGAGGAAGCAGAGGGCGGTGCGTCAGGGACGCCGCTGCCATGCTCCTCCTCCCCACCCTGTAATCGTGCAGGGACATGGTACCCAGAGAATCCAACCGCTTCACCAGCAGCGGTTCGGAAAGCTGGCGCCGGTGAGTTTGAGCTCGGTCGGAAAGCTGCGAGCTGCATCTGGTGACCGGATGCAGAAGATAAAGCAATTGGATCCACCATGGCACGAATCGAAGGAGGGTTACTGGACTGAAGGGTTCCCCACTGAGTAAGAAACTGGTTTTGAACTAGATTCCATGAGGCCGCTCTATGACTGGGCTCCGGCCATGCGGAACTTCCGGCGTCGAAGGCCAGAGGAGCAGCACAGGCGAAAATGGGTTGATGGGTGGGAGCAGAGCGGTTATGTTGGTGGTTAAAAATGGGATCTTGGACGGATTGGAGAGAGAGGCTGAGATCCTCGATATGGCTGCTGCTTCCTCCGATGGCTGGGTGGTAAGAGGAAGATGCAGCAGCGGTCATTGGGAAGAAGGATTTGATGGTATCGGCTATGGAATCTGAGTCTAGCGAAGGAGGAAGCAAGCTGGAACTGCTGCAGAAACCGTAAGCAGAAGCATAGTCGGCGGTTTCAGAAGAAAGGAGGGGTTTTTCGGCCGCTGCGGGAGGGGGAGGGGAGGGGGAGGGAGGACGCCATGGGGGGGGCTGA